TCTAGCAACTATAGGACTAAGGATATAAGAAATGTTTTTTTCTCTGAATCTCTTGTTTTGGTAGGTGAACATTGCCTGGACCCAGACACTTACCTCTTAGACTTGTACCACATCAATCCCCATGCTGAGTGGATAATTAAGCAAAACCCATCTTATCCTCGGATGTTCTAAGGAAAGCATGAGCAAAATGAAGTGTTTGGTGGAAGTTTTTGGAAGACATGGAAAAGCTATAGAGATGTTCCTGGTATTAGTCACAGACTGGACAATGCTTTTGTCAGAAGGAAGAAAAGCTTTATTTACTACTTCCACATGTTTCTGTTATTAGTCACAGATTTGGACAATGCTTGTGTCTGAAGGAAGAAAAGCTTTATTTACTACTTCCATGTGAGAGGACATGAGCCTACATGCAGATGGGGTGTTAATAACAAGCAGCCATTATCATTATGTAGCAGAATTTGCAGGGACTGTGATCATTCATAAACAAAATGCCCTCCCCAAAACAAACTCTGCAAACACAGCTACAGTGATTGTGCAGCAAAGATGGAACGTAAGAGGAGAAATGTCTTCTTGAAGATGGTAGAAGACATCTGTTTCTGCTGGATTTGTTCTTTCTTTTGATCGTTTTGGAGGAGAGAGCCGAATGCTGCAGCGGTACTAGTGACATCCCTTGGGTAAGATCCACTATTGACTGTCGCACGTCACCAGAAGAAGTTGTGATCCTGGGTTTTGCTACCACAATGCTGATATTCTCTTTGAGGAGTGTGAAGAGATGCTTCCAAAAAGGCCAGATGGGATATGAAGCCAACATCTTGTATTTATGGACTACAGTTAAATACATATATGCAACACAAGAAAACTTTCCTTGGAAAAAAGTATGGGATGGAGAGCAGCCTTTCGCATGTACAGTTGGGTAGGAGAGATGCCTGTCCCATACAGCTCTGCTGGTGATCCAAAATGTACGGGTTGCCATTGGTGATGGTAAAATGTACATTTATTTTACTGGACAACCTATATCTCAACAGATAACCAAGGAAATATTCTGAAGTTATTTGAGGTTAATAATCTGACCTGGCCATGTGAACTAACCTTCCTTTTGGAAGACTCTGTGTTGAACGTGCCTGTTTAAAAAAACAACAAACCAAACCACAGCCAAGATGCGCAGTGGCTGAAATGATAGGTCCGTGCCTGTATCTGGTCACACAGTGGGTACGGAATCGAGCCGTCACCACTCTGATGGCACGTTTCCATCCCACCCAGCACGGTGTGGTCACCGTGGTCTGCAGAGACAAGGGTGGAGAGAAGGCTCCACTGCATCGCTGCATCATCGTCGTCCAACCTCAGCTCCAACGAGACCGCGCTTGTGGAAAAGGAGCACACAAGTATTACTTTCCTTTCCAGCGATGCTGAAATACCTCATGTGAGGGAACCTACTATGCAGTTACATGGGGTGGAACATGCTCTGTTTCTGAAAATCCTGACGTCTGTTTTTATATACTGTTGGATATTTATTCATGTGGCAGAAGCAGGGCTGGCCTGCAAGTAAATACTCAAAGTATTTCATTTGCCAAGTCCTAACTGCACTAGTGACAATCTCCAGTATTATTTCTTTTGTTTAATTGAATTTGTTTCCATTGCAGACTGAACTTTCCCCTCCTTTGTATTTTTCCCCTGGTATGATGTGTAGCCATCCCTATTCATTATCACAAAGTCCTAGTTTCTATTATAAGGGCACTTCATTCTGTGGTTTGTCTGTCTGTGTGGTTAAATTCTCCTGGTGGTTAAGATCCTTGAGGAGCAGGTGAGCCATAGCCCGTATCCTTTCTAACCTGATGTGAATACTGTGTGTGTGGTGCTGATGTCTTGCAATGATGCATATATTAGAGAGTCTGTATACTTTTTTTTGGTTGAGATGACGCAGATGCACTGACTGGTGGGATCATCTTCATAGTTGTCTTTTTAAGGACTCATAATAGAAACTTGCAAAAAAACCCACCTCCTAGCCCAGGACCCCAATGTCAAGACTTGTTGAGTTGCCTCAGTTTTATAGGACCAAAACTGTCCCTAAAGGAGCCTGATTCTTATCCTTGAGATTGAGTGCTCTGTGTCTCTTGAAAGATCAAGCTGCTTTAAAATCGGGCATTAAAATTTAAAGGTACCTATTTGCTCTTCACTCCTGGAAACCTTCGTTGCAGTGATGGAGCTTAGCAGAGAGCAAATGCCAGAGGTGTGATACTGGGAGAAATACCTAAGTCACAAAGGTATCGGTGGGCAAGACAGAAGAACCCTGTTCCTGCTCAGAGATGCTTTGGAACCTTAATTGCATCCCTGCACATCACATAACGCTGCATTTTTTCCCACCCCTCATATACTGGATGTTTTATTAAACATATTGGCTTCCATACGTATGAGGGGGAAATGCTACATCACTGCTGCCATAAAAAAATGAGTGGTTTTTTTGATCACCAAATAATGTGAATCAGTGCTGTGAAAAACAAGGTTTGTGTGAGATTCTCACGAGACAAATAGCGGTTCTCAAATACGAAAGGAAACGTAAAAAAAAATCATCTCTTTCCAGATGATGGATTTGCTTTTTTATTTTTCTTTTCTATCTTTGTACCAGAAAGTAAGTATGAATTTTTTAGTCACTGATGTGCAACCTACTTCTGAATGCTGGCTTTTAATAACTATTTTTACAAACTATTGATTCTGTATTTAAAATTCATTTATTCAAGGAAACAATAAAAATACAGTAAAAATCTCTTGGTTTTGGTTTCATTAGTGGCTGAGAATAAGTAAGCACGATAAATGGCACCACATCTATGAGTGCCAGAAGGATTTGCCTCGTGCCTGAAGAGGGATGTGCCTGGGGTCCAAGTGAGCGTGGCTGGAGTTCCATGTTATGGCTTCAGGAGTTCTTCTTCAGAGGATCCTCTGGGTTCGCTGTGAAAGAACAATCCAGGGGGAGGAAGAGGAGGTCGGTGATGGGTATGAAAAGCCCACAGAAAGGTTGAGAGGAGGCTGAAGGTCTGTTTGAGCCGAAGGAAGGAGAGCCACTGTTAAAGACTGAGCTTGAGGAAAGGTGGCCGTGTCCCATAAGAAGTCCCCTTCCTACCTCCTCAGTCCTGTGCTTGGTGACGTACGTGCTGGCAGGACTAGCCAAGTTGGCCAAGAATAACAGGAATCCAGCCTGAATCTCTAGTTAAATTATGACTAATATTTTAGTGTTCAATAGTCAGTGATGAAACGTGGCATAAATCCACTGCTATTTGCTTAAAAACCAGTAAGAGCAGCAGCCTGTCCAGTGCTACTGAGAGAAAAGCAGGACTTGCTCCCCTGTCAGAAACAAAGGCAAAGGGAGGAGCATCCAAGCGGCTTTAGAAAGCTTTCAGAGCAATTATCTGAGGAAAACACCAGTTTATCAAACTCATTTCACCCATTCATCTTCAGTAGTATCAAAGTGCTAATCTCTCCCATCCCCAAGGGCGTTTTTTGATTGATCATTACAGCGCTATCTCCCCTGCTCCCAACACCAGCCCCGTATTTATTCTGGATGCAACTTCAAGTCGGGTGTGCTGAGATAACAGGACGTGGCATAAAAGAATCTTGCAAATGCTGGTTAAACAGATTCATGGATGAAGTGGAACTGAAATACCACATATTAAAAAAAATAATAAATAATTTGCTTCAGGGGAAAAAAAAAGTCTTTGCAGAAATACAGGGTCTTCATAAGAATAAATGAAGCTTCAACCCTTGGAGGGAAATGCTGTAGGAAAACTACAAAATACACTTCCTGGAGCAAAGTAAGTAAATGATGGCAAATACTGCTGTAAACAAAATACAGTTGCATTTGATTAAGTAGTTCTGTCCTCTAGTGCACTCCCCGGTGTTGAACACAAGACAAATGACATCTGTGGGTTTGTATGCTGAGAGAACGAAACTTTAAAGTACTCTTCAAATCCTGTCTGGTCTTGATTGCACATGAGGGTTGGATACGTCTTCGCTTTGGGGGGAGAAAATAAGAGGCTGTAGTTCAGTATTTTAAGTTGCTAGAAAAGAAAATGTACAGCTGCATTGAGATGGGTGTTTATCAGCTGGGAACTGGTTGTGGTAGGATCAGTTTCTGTGGTCTTCCCCGGCCATTCTACCCCTACTTTTTTATGTATGTGACAATCATTTTCTTTCTCGAAGCAGCTTTGTGTTGGTCATCCCCTCATTGTTCCTCCTTGTCCAGGGGAAAGGGTGACCTCACCTGCCAAGGAGCTTCTCCCCGGCACCCGGACCTGGCAGGATCCACTGAGCTCAGGGGGTTGCAGCTTTCTCCCCAGCCCTGTGCTCTGCTATCTAGTTCTCTCCAAGGGCTGCTCTAAAGAATAGGGGAAGGAATTCCTTTTATCCTTAATCTCGGAAGGGAATTTGAAGTGGTGATATTTTCACCGATCTGACGCTCTTGCCAGGCTGGAGAAGTCAAAGGAGTAATTAACTAGGGGGTACAGGAGGAAAAGAGGAAAAATGCCAACAGAAACGGAGAGTGTAGGTGTAGGGGTGTAGTTGTACCTGTGGGAGTTGTTTGGTTTTTGTTTGGTGTAGGTGTAGGGGTGTAGGTGTACCTACAGAGGGTGTAGGTGTACCTGTGGGAGTTGTTTGGTTTTTGTTTGTTTTGCAGGGTTGGAAGAGATGCGGATCCATACAAGATCTGCTGTTCTCTCCTCGCTCATCCCAAACCTGGATGCAGGCTGCAGTAGAAACCTCCTCCGGTGGTTCCTTGTCCTTTCCAGGCTGAAAACTGTAGGCTGGTTTCCCTGACCTTCAGCTTTCCCCAGCCAGCCCTTTCCGTGCTGAGGGGGGGACCTGAGCCATCCGTAAAGAAGGTACTTCATGTTGGTCCACGCTTGTTTTGCAGGGTTGGAAGAGATGCGGATCCATACAAGATCTGCTGTTCTCTCCTCGCTCATCCCAAACCTGGATGCAGGCTGCAGTAGAAACCTCCTCCGGTGGTTCCTTGTCCTTTCCAGGCTGAAAACTGTAGGCTGGTTTCCCTGACCTTCAGCTTTCCCCAGCCAGCCCTTTCCGTGCTGAGGGGGGGACCTGAGCCATCCGTAAAGAAGGTACTTCATGTTGGTCCACGCGTGGGCATGGATGCTCCAAGCTGTGTGTGGACAACTTGTGGGTTGAAACGGAATCTTTTGAGCCTTACCCAGAGTTTTCCGAGTCTGGAGGAGCGTGGTTACGTGTAACCCACCCGAGTCACCTCCCCTCTCAGCTCCCTGTATGTTCTGAGTCAGCGCAGGTGGAAAAAGGTGCTCTTATCTGTGCTGATGACTCTGTAGTTAAGCCTTCTCTGGACACAAGAGGCAGTCACAAAGTGGAATAATTGCCTTTCACTTACAACAAACCAGCAGAGCTGGCTCAGGGTTTTCGAGAGAGACAATTAAAGATATTGCATTGTTGTCTTTAAAAGGAGAAATAGACCTGGGGGTTCCCTAATAGCCCTCCTCATTCTGTGCTGCGCGTTGTTGTGGGTTGCATTTATTATGAGCCACTTATTGTCCCTAATTATTTAGCAGGGGGGAGGTCTCTCAGTAACAGGCGAATTTGTGACTTGATGAACACTCAGCTGTCTGTATTTAAGACAAAATTACTGTAATTAACAAATCGATCAACCCTACTTTCACTTTGCCTGGCTGGGACAGGACAAATGGGCTAAATGAGACCTATTTAGTACCGAGGCAGAGAAAGGGGTTTGTAGACATCAGGATACACAGGCTTAAAGCTTTTTTTTTCCCCTGCTTTTTTTTTTTTTTTTTTTTTTAACACGCTGCTTTTAATGATAATGCCACATAATTGTCTCTTGTTGGGTAATTTTGTCTCCAACAAAAGGCACTTAGGCTGTGCTTTCTTCAGCAGCGCCCAGCAAGGCAGGGTCCTGGTGGGTGAGTAACCAGGTGGGTTGGTTTATTATAACCTAAACCCGGAGCAGGGATGGGCTGGATCCCCTGGGTGCTGCGCTCTCTTGTCACTCTGTCTCGTTGTTTGCAGAACGTACGTCTCTGAGAGCAAGATTCATCCCTCAGGTTGTCTTATGGCTGCCAGATGTTGCCCTCTCCAGCTGCCCAGCTGCTGCTCCTCCTGCCGCTTTGCTGTCCGAGGGTGGATGTGCTTCCAGCCTCAGCCAGTCCTCCCACCTCCCTGCTGTGGGAGGAACTTGTCCCCAGCTCTTCTTCCAGGTAATCAGTACCTGTTGGTAGTTGTGAGTGAAGGAAAGGAGCTTAAATAACTTGAAATAATTGCAGCTGCGGTTTTGCCCTGGATTTCACAGAATCACATGGGGTTGGAAGGGTCCTCTGGAGATCACCCAGTCCAACCCCCTGCCAGAGTAGGTCCACCCAGAGCAGGTCCCACAGGAACGTGTCCAGGTCAGGTTTGAATGTCTCCAGAGAAGGAGACTCCACCATCTCTCTGGGCAGCCTCTTCCAGGGCTCTGCCACCCTCACAGGAAAGAAGTTCCTCCTCATGTTTAGATGGAACTTCTAATGTTCAAGTTTGTGCCCGTTACCTTGTCCTGTCACTGGGCACCACTGAAAAAAGACTGGCCCCATCCTCCTGACACCCACCCTGTCAGTATTGATAGGCATTGATCAGATCCCTCCTCAGTCTTCTCTTGAATTCCTGGACAGTTTTCTTTTCCAGATTTCTGGACAGGCACCTGCCTTACGCTGGCATCTCTCAGGCTGCACCTCCCCTGTCCCCAGTGAACTGAAATAGCACAGGGTAAAGAACGGTCACTGGGCTTTGGATTCCTGCCCTGGCTTAGTTCATGGGAGTTTCCTAATGAAAACAATGCTTGGAGCTGTGTGCTGCCTAGAAAGCATTTGGCTGCTGGGGTTTGTCCCTCTTTAAGCTCTTGAGGTAGATATGTACACCCTGGGAAGTGCACGCTGTGTGCTGTCAGCCCGTTCTCACTGCCTTGTCACTCCAGGATTGTGTGGCATCTGCACATGTCATTAAGGTCATCCCCTTAAAAGTAGACAAGATACTGGAGGGCCAGTGCTCTCCATTTCTCTGTATTTTCCTGTCCTGTGAAACGAACTGGTAAAGGGTAGAGCTGCTATGGAAGAAGAAACCAGCTCTGGCCATCAGCATGAAGATGAGGAGCATGACTACGTGTCTTCTCTGAGAAATGGGGCTGTCCCTGTGATGGAATCCATGAAGGGCAGATCTGGCAGTGATGGAGGGAGAGACTCTCCCAGTTACCAAAGGGAACTGCTCCAGCAGCAGCTGGTTGCCCTCACAAAGGTGTCTATAGGGGAAGCTGGTGCTTTTTGCTGATGATGTGGTTCCTGCTACACCCACTAACCCAGCAGAAAAGGGAGTTGCTTACACGTGCAGTGTGAGAAAATCACAGGCACATTTATTTTGACAGATCATTTGAAAATAAAAATCAAAATCTGTAAGTGCTTTGAGGGATGGGACCTGCTTAAACTGGACAGTGGTCTTTGTCCTGTCCCTGTTTGCATATGCCAGTGGGGGCTAATCCTCACTGCACCCCTACTCACGGGCAGGCGGGTGGTGGTTGTGCTGTGATAAGGGTGTTATGTCTGATGGATAAATGGGGACCAGAGAACGCCTGGCTTAGTCTGTAATCCCGATGGGCCCATGTTTTGTAGGGCCTCATCATCACTGCCCTGTTCCCCGCGTGGCTGCCCTCTGTTTTGGAGGCCAGTTGCATCTTTTGGCCATTTTGCCTCTCTCCTCCGCTCG